GGGAGGCGGGGCAGCTCTGACGGGTCCTGGCCAGAGCCAGAGCTTTCTCTTTTGTGTACAGTGGCAGGGCCATGCTTCATCCAGCTTTGAGTGTCCTGGTTGCCCATCCCTCAGGCAACACCACAGCTCCTGACCCTGCGTGCATCTTGGGACAACCTTGCTTAGCACGGAGTTTGTCTCTCTTCTCTTGCGTCTGCTCTTTGTACTCTTGTCCAGTTATCCATTCTTTTGCTGTGTCTCAACATCACAGGTGCGCACAGTGCTGTTTCAGACTCTCCCCCAGGGCTCAAACTGGCTAAGGGTTGCATTCCCTTTCCTCCCCCTCTGCCGCATGAACTACCAGCATAAACAGGACTCTGGGAGACGAGTGATGCAGAGCTCTTGGTTGGGCTCAGCCCCAGGCCAACTGTGGGGTCATGCCCCTTCCAGCCAGGTTGTGGGCAGGGGATTGTTTGCAGTGGAGACACTGCGGGACAAGATACTCCTTCATCAGCATTGTGCCAGGACTGGTTGGTGGAAACTGTACTCTGGTTCTTATGCCCTTTGTTGGGCAGAACAAACCAGATCATACCACACGTGCTCTGACAGGGCAATGTGGCATGGTGAGAAGCGGGACTTGCGTTGTCCTTGCCCTCCTGGGCCTGGGGTGGTGGGATAGAAAACAGGCACCTTCCGAAGGACCTGGGGGGACCACACGGATGCCAACTCCCCAGGGAGACATAATGTGAAGTGTTAGCAGGCTCCTTAGCTGCAACCAGGTATGAGAGGGGGTGAAAGGATCCCCGGGCTGGTGACGCCTGTTGGGATCATCACATCCAGCCCCAGCACCAGGACAGCAGCCCTGGGGAAAGGCACAGCGCAGAACTTCTTCCTGAGGCTGGGGGCCGGGCAGGGGTGGGCTGTCTTGAACCAGCCTGAGCTGAGCCACGCTGGCTGGTGTTGGGCCATGCTGTGCGGTGCTGTGCTGAGCCCCGCTGCCGGCCATGCATGCCGGCAGCGGCACCGCCCTGCATAGGTGCACACTGAGTCACGGCAGGTAGGCACTCATGGGCTGCCCTGCTGTGGGAAGAAGCCCTGCGGCAGGGTGAGTCCCCGGCATCCTGCAGCTAAGGGCAACTGGCTGGGAAGCCCACAGGGCTAGTTGTGACCGCCAGGGCTTGCAGTGAAAACCGGGCTGCCAGCAGCGTGCTGCAGGCACCAGGACTGGGGAAGCGCCCTCTGCTTCCCCTGCAGCTGACGGCTTGCTGTCTCGTCACCCACAAACCCCTTCCCGGGGGAAGGTGCTCCCCCTTCTCCTTCCATCCCCAGCCGTGGCCTCTGCATGCCCTGAGCCCTCTGCACCCAACAAGGGTGCCAACACAGCGGTGCCCTCTGCGAGGCTGAGCCAACGCCGCCGGGCGTGCACCCCGCCCCGCGCAGGGTCCGGGCACAATTCGGGGCG